ACTCCACCCAAGACGACGACGACCCCTTCGCCGACTCCAACACGACCGACTCCAAGCCCCCGCCCACGCAGTTCCGCAACCAGGTCCAGGCCCACACCCACTGGATCAACGACATCGTCCTCGCCCAGAACAACGACGCCCTCGTCTCCGCCTCCTCCGACATCACCGTCAAGGTATGGCGACCCGCTGCCACCGACAAGCTGCCCCCGCAGACTATTGGCCTGCACACCGACTACGTCAAGCGCGTCGCATCGCCGGGCGGCAACGAGAACTGGGTAGCTTCGGGCGGCCTGGACCGCAAGATCAGCCTGTGGGACCTCAATGGCGCGGGCAAGAAGCTGGAGATTGCAGTCGGCGAGGATGAGAACACCGCCAAGGGCTCTGTATACGCCCTGGCAGCAACACCCAATCTCATCGCTAGTGGCGGGCCAGAGAGCATCGTCCGTGTGTGGGACGCAAGGTCGGGCAAGCGCATCACCAAATTTGTCGGTCACACGGACAATGTGCGCGATATCCTCCTGGCGCAGGACGGCGACATGATCCTGACGGGCTCGTCCGATCAGACGGTCAAGGTGTGGTCCATGACGGCAGGCCGCTGCATGTACACGCTTACTATGCACAACGACAGCGTCTGGTCTCTGCACTCCGACTCGCCCGAACTCGATGTCTTCTACTCTTCCGACCGCTCTGGCATAGTCGCTAAGAGTGATGTGCGCAACTGCGCCGAGATGGACGAAGGACTCTCGCTAGCAGTGTGTCAGGAGCACGAGGGCGTGAACAAGGTTGTCGCAGCTGGCGACTATATCTGGACTGCCACCTCCAGCTCGAGCATCAACCGGTGGAACGACGTCGAAACCGCGGCCGAGGTCGAGCTTCCAGAATCCTACAAGTGGCATAGGAACAGCGTGTCGACTATGCGATCGCGCATTCCTTCGCCTCCCGCTGGCAGCCCTCCGAAGAACGAAACGTCCAAGATTCCGCTCAAGTCATTACTGCGCATGTCCAATACTGCGCCATTCCCGCAAGCGCTTGCGACCAAGGATGCCGACACCTCAACTCTAGCCAGCACGCGCAAACCCTCCGAAGTACTAGCGGCTCCCGAACACAGTGCTGTGGGGACTGTCCGGGCACTACCAGACTTTACAATCGAAGGCCAGAACGGTCTCATAAAGCATCATTTGCTCAACGATCGGCGAAGAGTCCTCACTCTCGACACTGCGGGAGAGGTGGTTCTATGGGATCTACTGCAATGCGCACCGATCAAGTCATACGGCAAGAAGCACATGGAGGACGTGGTGCCAGAAGTTAACACCGTGGACACCGTCGCCCATTGGTGCGCTGTCGATACAAGGATAGGGACCTTGACGTGTATGCTCGAAGAGAACTACTGCTTCGATGCCGAGACATATGCAGACGAGCTGGAGCTGGAGGAGCAGATTGACTTCCGGGAAGACCATCGCATAAACCTTGGCAAATGGATATTACGATACCTCTTCTCGAACCTCATCGACGAGGAAATCAAGCGTGATGAGGTCCTGCGTGCAGAGCTGCTCAAACAGAAGGAAGAACAACCCCAGCCGGGTCGCCCGACAAACATCGAGCTACCGAACATGAACATCAACGGATGGACAGATGCGACTTCAGGGCCTGCTTCAGGCTCGACTATCAGAGCCGACGGAATGCGTCTACCACATACACCAGGTCTGGCTATTGGTCTAGCCACACCCATGGCAGCACCTATGAGTGCAGGACGCAACTCTACTACCAACCCCTTGACACCTACCAAGGAAGAGGGCGCACAATTGGAGAAGACGCAAACCCAACGGAGCTCGACTCAAGAAGGCGGTGACTACTTCGGTTCTGCCTCTGCTGCTAACGGCAACGGAAGTGGAAAAGCCACCGAGGCTTCGAAAGACGGCTCTGCGGACTCAAAAGAGGAGACTGTCCAATCACCTACCGAGGCCGACACGCCAGCTAAGAAGGGCAAAGGCATGTTTGGTAAGAAGTTTAACATGGGCTTTAGCATGAAGAAGTTCAGCACTGGCACAGCCGCCCCAGAGCCAGCCAAACCTGCCATTGACGAAAAGGCCGAAGACAGCGATGCACACTCCAACAAGACGGATGAAAAGACCATCGAAGATAACTTCTTCGGCGCTCTTCAACGGATACGGCAGGGTTACGAGGAACAGCTTGCGGCCGGCGCAACCAAGTTGGACACGCAGATTGCACCCAGTCTGCCCAACGAAACACCCGTACTAAAACCACCTGCTATGACCACCATTCTGATTCAGGAGGACCGCCCCGACTCCGGCGGTGTAGCCGATCTGTTCGAGGGCAAAGTCGGAACCCTAGGAACCCAAGCCGACCTCATCGAAAAAGCCGCACCAATGTGGCTAGCAGAAGTCCTACTACGAGTTCGTCACTCCATACACCCAAAACGCCCCTCTTTACTAACGCAACCCCCCACAGAACCAACTCCCGCCCAAAGACATCGTCAAAGTATCCTTCGTACTTGAACCGTTTAACAACACGCTCCCCTCCATCTCATCCGACGGGTACATTCCCTTTGCCCTTCCCTTCGAAACCGCCGCCAGCGCTAACGCGACTCTCAGTAACAACCGCCTCAACGCAAATAGAATGCTGCGCGCACGCAAGATACTGGGCTATGTGGCTGAGCGCATTGAACCCGCGCCCACCAAGGAGGATCTCGAGAAGTCGGCGGAGAGCGGCGGCGTGCTTAAGCCGGATGAGTATTTGGAGTTGTATTGTAATAATCAGGTAAGTTTTTCATTTCATTTGTTACATGACATTGGTGGAGGGAATTGTGCTAATCTTCGCATCAACAGTTAATCCCGCCAACCATGACACTAGCCAGTATCCGCGCACATATCTGGCGTGGCGGCGGCGACGTCCTCCTTCTCTACAAAGCCAATGGACGCAAGGAAATCAGACATGCGCCTTACCCCGGTCCGCAGTCTGGCGCGCCTCCTGGTCCTATGCATGGATTGAAGGTGGGTGCGGGGTTGAACTCGCAGCCTGGAAGTAGCAACGCGAGTGAGGGGAAGCAGAGCAGTGAGGCGGATAGGAGTACTAAGGATGCTGCGGTTTTTGGACCGTAGGTTGTGTTTGGTTTGGGTTCGTATGGTATAGTGTGGTTGGATTGGATATGCAAGGGGGCAGGCTTGGCTGGCTGTGTGGCAGCTCAGTTGGAGACAGTGGTATTGTTCTTTGGATAAAGACCAGAGGGTTGGAATAGTGTATATAGCATACCCGCTTGCCAGTAGACTCTTCCATGAGTCCGTGGCCTCGGCCTCATGCGGCTGAGTAGGATGAACTTAATCCTATACTCTCATTATTGTTGTTCCCTCCTCCACACTTTCCTACAAAAACATCAGCATGATCAACCATACCATTCACGCCTCACTCCTCAACCACACCCCCCAACGCATTACTCGCCCACTGATAACTCCCCAAGAAAATCGCTCCCCCAACACTAATCCAACCCACCCGCGGTCCCATCCCCGCGAAGAACGCCCTCGGCCCACTCTCCCTCATGATCGACGCCAACATCTGCATCATAGGCTGTTTCTCCCTCGCAAGCATCATCCTCGTCTTAAGCACATCCAACGGCGTCGTCACCCCCGCCGCCACAGCCCCCGCCACACTCCCCAGCAAACCCCCCTCCAAACCCGTTACTTCGCTCCGCCCTGTCCGGCTCATCCGCCATTTCTTCAGCGCCTCCCAGAGCGGGAATTGGATTACCGTGAAGGGCACTTCGCGGATTATGGTTATTGACCAACCCCGGTAGAGTTCCATCCAGACGTGTGCGAGACCGTGGGTGTGGCGCTGCCGGAGGATGAAAGTGAGCGCGGAGAGGGAGGAGGGGTGTTGGGATGCTTGGGCGCGTTGTTTTATTACTTCCGTAGGCACCCTAACCGCACACGCAGCAACCTCCCCCGCACTCGCGGCTGCCATATGCACGAGTGCCTCTGTCCCACTGTCCCTCGCATCTTCTTTGTACGGTTTCCCTTCTGCGTTATAACGTACGGTGGTCGTAGTTAGACTTTGGCTCTGGGCGAAGGTGCGTTTTATCGTGTCGTAGGTTATGAAGAAGAGGGCGGCGCCGGGCGCGGATCCGACGATTGCGCTGCCGACGCCCCGGTAGATGCCGTTGAAGCCGCCGCTGGCTGCGAAGCCGGAGGCGGATTGGAGACGCGTTTTTAGGGTGTCGAGGGGGTAGAGGGATAGGTCTACTGTTGTGCCTGCTAGGCCGCCGGCCTGGGGCGGGTGTTAGTTGTGTGGATTTGTTTGTTTGTGTGTTTGGGTGGGTGGATTGGTGAATGTAGATGATCGAGGGGATGTAGAAATGAACATCTATTGCCAGTATCGTATGGAATCTCGACGGCATCTGGCCCAGTAGCTTCGCCATGGCAATAAAAGCTGTAGATGATGCGCCTTAACCCGATATCGGCAGAGCGAGAGCAATTGGGAGGCAATCTTCTGACAGCTGAAAGATCTGGTTACTTACTATAAGCGACCGCAAGTATGGCGACTCAACCCATGCTTGTGGTGGTTGTGCGCGTGAGGAGTCGAGCATGGTGGGAAAGTAATTCGGCGGGCTATGACGATGATGATTGAGACATTGCGTTGGAAGAACGGAGGGTCTGTGCGCAAGCTAGTGGACTGTCTACTTCTTCCGTCCTGACTAGGCGAGTACCTTGCTCGTTTCAATGTTTTTCTAATACACGAGTTACTAACGCCACCGTACCTTGTTTTTCGTGTCGAAAGTGGTATTCGCGGAAAGAAGATGGCGCGTTGAAAGAATGTCTGCTTCGGCTATGAATGTGAGATGTCTGGCTAGCACAAGGATTTCGAGATGCGACGCGCAAGAGAAGGAACGAGATGAGGTGAGAGATGAGGATCGGAGTCGTGCTGAGTTGAATGAGGTGGGCGAAGGGGGGAAAGTGATGGCTAGCCGCGATGAGGCACCACAGCAGTCCATGGAAGACGAACCGGAAGACAAGAGCAGCAAAGATGCTTCGGACGGCCAATCCTCTCCGAGAACATCGCTTTCATCTTCTGAGTCGGAACTGGAATCAGAAGATGGCAGCGACTCTGGTAGCTCTGATCGCTTGTTTGATGCAAAACCGTACACGAGTTGCATACAAGAAGCTCAACTTTCACCGGATGGTAGCTGCGTCTTTACGTCGGACTACAGCCGTCAATTCTCCGTGTATCCCATCTCGAACGACATTCTGACCCAGACCAGCCCTCAGCCTCTCACGCCCTACGCGTCTCTTTGCTCTGCCGATCCAATCTGGGCTTTTGCTGTCAACCCACTCTTCAACTTACAAGATGCCAGCAGTACGACTGTGCTCATTAGTCGGAGAGATGCCTACATCAGTCTGCACAACGCATTATGGCCTACCTCGCAAAAGCACAGCGAAGATAATCAGACCTCAGGACCGGTGGACATATCCACCCCTCTGGCATCCTACAAACTCATCAACAATCTGACTGAAGCCGTCATCGCACCCCTCAGCCTCGCCTACTCCACCACCGGCACACATTTCTTCGCCGGCTCGAAAGATGAAATCTCAATCTTTGACCTCCTCGAAACCGACAAACCAATCCATACAATTCGTACCATACCCGCCAAACGCAACAAACTCAAAGGCGGAGGTCGCGGCTTCAAAGGCCACATAACCGCTTTGTCCCTCTCGCCATCCACTTCCACATCACACGATGGCATTCTAGCAGCCGGCTCCCGCACCCGCTATATCGGCATCTACGACCCCATCGGCGGCACAGAAGTGACACATTTCTCCCTCCCAGGCACAATAAACGGCATCAAATTCCGCAACGAAAACCTCCAAAGCGTCATGGGCGACGGCGTCACATCTCTCAAATGGAGTCCCTGCGGCAAATACCTCTACGTTGCGGAACGCAGTTCAGACGTCCTTCTCATCTACGACGTCCGCAATTTCTCGCTCACACTGGGATACTGTGCTGGTAGACAAGCGCTCACTCGTCAGAAACTGGGGTTTGATGTGTGGAATGCGGGACAGAGCCCGTATGATGTTGAGGGTGTTTCGCATGAGGTTTGGGCAGGTGGGACGGATGGGAAAGTGAGGGCTTGGAGGGATCCGTATAGGAGGGAGGGGGCTGTACAGGCTGATGAGGTGGTTGAGGTTGGGGATGGGAAGGCGCCTGTTGTAGGGAGTCTTGTTCATGCTTCGGGGAGTTTGGCGGTTGCGGCTTGTGGGAGGGTTGGGTTGGGAGGTGACATGGAAGAGGGGGCGAGGAGGGGCGGAGGTACTAGGCCCGTGGTGAGAGAGTGGGGGAGTTTGGATATCTTGGGGCTGGGCTGAGATGTTGCTCTCGGAGATGCTGAGACGTCGGAGGTTCATGAGGTTCAGGAAGTGTTGGTAATGATATTCGTCTACCTGCCTCCGACGCGAAAATGGCGCATGGGCTGCAAAGGTCCATGAGCAGAGAGACACGATCTTCAGACGTCCGAGGAGCTTCAGCAGCAGGTCTAAAGTACGAAGGCTAACCATGTGTCAAGAATAGCAACTTCTTGATCGTGTTCCAGTATGCCTGGGCATATCACATGTTCACAGACCACGCCACACAACTACATGACGGAAATCTCCTCGCTCCTCGCTTCCTTTATCCAGACGACCGACGCCACCCTATCCAAACCCCGATTCTCGTCATCACTGTTCTACAATCTAGGCTCGTCTTTCAGGCCTCGCAAGATCTTCGCAGTATTGAGGATGTGCTTGTATCTACTCTCTCGCCGCCACACGAGTACTACTGGGTGCCAGTCTGTCGGTCCACACACAAACCCGCTACCCCGTCAAGGTCTAGAAGACCTCGGGGTATAGCCGGAGTAAGGAGTGCAAGCGCGATCCCCATGTGGAAGTCGTCCGCTAATGGCGGTTGCTCGCTGGGTTTTCTTACTATTGTTCGTTGAATGTGCTTGGGTTTAAACGCAGGTACGGCGTAGCTAAGCAACACGCTAGTTATTGCAATGCTTGTGTATCTCCTGCATACGGTTCTCCGCAGTTTTAAATAGTATATGTCTTTAATAAGTTTTGTTTATTGGAATTAAGCGTTGAGATGAATGTTGCTACAGTTACAAGCATAGACGAGCTATCCTTCACTGTAGGTTTAATCATTCAGCTCAGCTGTTCATGCTTCATCCACGATAAACATGGAGTGAGGTCAGGAACGACAAATACCAGACACAAACATGTAAGTTTCCGGATCTACCAGCTCTTGAGTGGCACATTGTGTTGGTCTGCGGTCTGCTACTGTGGGTAAATACACAAAAGGCCTATGCGAAGACCAACCGACCCACTGTGCGCGAGATCTTTTTGTTATATTCCCATCTTTATTACAAGAACAATAGTAGAATAAAACGACTGTACGACTTCGCCATTTCCAACAAAAGTAAGGGCGTGTCTGTATGTTGGTGCACATCAGACGAGCCAGACTGCGCCGGAATCACACATGGCCCCGGGGTGGTATCGCCATCTCTCACCGCGAATCTATCGCTGAGATCTTCTTACGCACTCTCTCGCTGTCTATATAAATTGCCTTCTCTCTGTAATTACACATAGTACCATCGAACACTCCGATCACTCCATCTTACTCTACATCACCTCTCGCTACCAAGCTATCCGCAAAACGACCAGCCATGCATCTCCCTACCCTCCTCTCCCTCGTTGCTCTCCCATTCCTAGCGAGCGGCCTTCCAACCGCCGAAACAGAGGCTACGCATCTCGTCCCCCGCGCTTCCGACGCCGGCTACATCTATTACGAACCAGGCAGTATCCCCGATCATCTAAGTCACAGAGCCCCCCTGATAGCCAACGGTGGCTGTTCGCCGAACTTTCCAGGACAGGCCGCTACCTGCACAGTTTTTGCAGGCTATAGATGCCGATTCTTCCGGTAAGTCATCATCGTGCTGTGCGACTTGTGACGAATTTGGGGTTTCTTTTGTACTCTGGTCAATGTGAGATCAAGGTCCTTGAAGCTAGTTACTAACGGGACGTCTGATAGGGACAATAACTGCAAAGGCCTCATTGGTGGGGTTGAAGGGCTGCCTTCTCCTGGAGGAGGGCTCTATCAAAAAGCCAGGTCCGCCACTTGCTGGTGTGGGTAGAGTGGTTGCAACCATTCAGAGAGTCATTGCGATGTACTCTTCGCATGGGAAGTCTCTCAAACGTACTCTGGAGAGCACAAGTCGGTGGAACGGAACATACGGACGGTCATTTTACTAGTATATACGGAGGAGCACCAGAATGAACTACTTGTCGCATTCTACTACATCATCATTCCTTGACCTCGGACTCAAACGCGACATCCAGCTACGCCCACCCCAAACTCCTACCCAAACCAGCAGTGATACTGAAAGGACGTTACACGCCCCTCCGGATAAAAGCCCATCTCATACCTCCATGACCTCCCCAAGCTTGGAACAATCTTAACCTGCACATCAACACTACTCCCCCTCTCCTTGCTCTTCTCAACAAAGCTCTCAGACCAAATCTGAGCCGCGTCTTTCAAAGCAGTCCAAGTCGGACTCTTATTCGGCTTCACATCGCTGTCTTCGAGATCGGCGTAGTAGTACTCGTTGCCATCGATGCACACCAACTCCAACTTCTGAAGACCCGTAGAACCCACCATATCCGCAAAATCCGCCATATCCCCAAACGTCGCTTCATTGACTAAACGCGACGTCCTCGCGTCTTGAGACTCCTCATCCTTCATCTGCTTCTTCAAAAACATACTCCCCGGAACACCCACAGTAAGACTTTTCAGCCCAGGACATCTCTTCACGACATCAACAACACATCCAGCGCGATACCAAGCAGGACTCAACCGGGGTACATGCGCAGTCTCTCGCACAGTCCCTATCTCGAGGTGCTGGATGCAGCTCCATGTACTGGATGGCATGCCGACCATCCATGATTCCAGGTTGATTACGTCGTTGACGGCGATGGTGGTGTGGCGTAGATACACCTCAGAAGCTTCTTGGTTGATCTGGCGGTTTAGGCGTAGGTAGGGCGGGAGGCGCGAGCTGAGGGGCGGTAGAGGGGATGGGTCGCTGGGCTGGGCATATTGTAGTTTTGGAGATAGGTCGACGAGGAGGTGGGTGTAGATCTCGTCGCGGATCTCGCGCGGGAAGAGGCTTAGGAAGGGGCGGGTGTTGGATGTTTGTTGTGTGTACATTTTGAGAAGCTTCGGGTTTCAGTAGTGAGCGGTGGTTCTGACGTTATCTTCAGAGATGCCTATATAGATATCCCGAGCTGATTGCTGATTATGAGAAGATCTTTGGGCTCGAGTGTTCGGACGTAGTAGAGTTATATGTTCATAGCCGTGGTGGCTGTGGGACGTTGTCAAGTTGGTTCAAAGTGGCGGTGCAGTTCCCATCTACCGGTGAGTAGCATTCGGCTGATATTAGCAGGCATCTGCACAGCGCATCCGTCTCGCTCGTTTTCCTCGTAAATGTGTCATGGGAGAAGGCCCGGTGGAAGGTTGGAAGGATGGTTCAACTGCCCGACCTGTGACTGCGCCACATTGCACCGCCACAACTCCAAAGTCGCTGCCTACCGATCCAAGCCAACTTCCAAACTTGACCCAGACTATCTCAAAACTTCATCAAGAAAACACCAAAAACAATGAGCCGGGGAAACACCTCGACCAAGTCCCCCAAAATGCTTGACCTAGCAACCCGCCGCCGCATCTGCGAAGACACAATAACCCGCTCCCCCTCCATCGCAACCTCCACCCCCAACGGCTCCCTAACCAGCTACTTCATCCCATCCCAACTGCCCCCACTCTCAAAAACACTCCCCACATACCCATCCCACCCCGCACTCCCCTCTCCAAAAATCCACAACAGCGACGCCCTCGCCCTCGCGCGCTCCCTCCCCAGCACCTCCAAACCCGGCATCTTAAACCTAGCTTCCGACGCCGAACCCGGTGGCGGCTGGCGCTTCACACTATCATCCACGCAGGAAGAAGCTCTGTGTTATGCATCCACGTTGTATGCGACGTTAAAGCCGGAATGGTATCCGTGGGCTAATACGGGGCCGGGGTGTGTGGCTGGTGTTATGTCGCCCGATGTCGTTGTGTTTAGGGATACGCTTGATAATGGGCTTGTTGAGTTACCTGCGGATCAAAAGTTTGTGGTTGCTGTTATGACGGTTGCGGGGCCGCGGTTTCCTGCTGTTGTGACGGAGGGGGAGGGGGAGGTGGTGTTTAAGGAGGAGAGTGTTGTTGAGGAGGTACGGGAGAAGGTTAGGTTGGTGTTAAGGATGGCGGCGGGGGAGGGTGTAGGGAGGTTGGTACTTGGGGCGATGGGTTGTGGGGCTTATGGGTGTCCGCCTAGGGCTGTGGCAAAGGAGATGAAGGGCGTGTTGGGGGAGGAAGAGTTTGAGGGGTGGTTTGAGAGTGTGGATTTTGCGGTTTATGCTAAAGGCCCGGCGGGGATGAGGAATTTGGAGGCTTTTAGAGAGGTTTTTGGAGGGGAGTGAGTATGGAGGGTTCGATGGGGATGCAACTGGTCGTTGCATTGTAGATTGTATGTACATATTGGTAAAGGTAAAATAGATACAGAGAAGATAAATGTGTGGCCTTTCAACTCGCCAAGGCCTCAAGCCTTACACGCACTTCCAACCCACTCTAGATCTTACCAACACCAGCAGTGTTAGCAACATTCGAGCTCGCCGCCGAAGCACCAGCGACAGTCTTTCCCTGGAAGTTAACCAAGAAATCCGTCTGGGTACCACTGAAACTTCCACTGCTTCCAAACGAGTTAAGTTGGCAAGTGTGTCCAAGATAGGTCTGGCACACACCGTTTGCGCCCGTTGAAGGCGCAGAAAACAACTGCCCCTTATTGTTAAGCAGCGGCGTGTTGACATTCTGAAACACGTTTCCCTCGGCAACAACCATACCGCCCGCTTCAATATCAAAGGCATGACCCGTGTTGCTATAGAAATAGTTGTTTACCGCATGGAGCAGCGTGTTGCCCTGTCCACCGACCTTCGGGCTGCGGCCAGAGGTGTGGTGGATGTAGTTGCCCTTCATGGTGATGAGATCGCTGCCGCCGAGGAGGAGGATGCTCCAGTAGTGGCGGCCGTCGCAGGAAGCGGACCAGGAGGTGCTGCCGTCGAATTCTGTGTTGCTGATTGTTACACGGCCCGAGGCGCCGTAGCCGGCTACGAACATTTGGCGGCCGATGAGGGAGATTTTGACGTGGTCTGCAGGGGTTGTTAGAAGTGGGAGGGGTTAGGATGGGAGGGAGTGGACGTACCGATCCAGACGAGGTCCGACTTGTCGAGGGTGATGGCGTCGCCGCCCCAGATGTACTGTGGGTTGAGCTCGGTGATGTGAATGTTTTGGATGATGATGTTCTGTGCTCCGTTGGCGATGCGGAGACCTTTGCCACGGATGACACCCTTGTTGCCAACACCGATGAGGGACTTGTTGGAGCCTAGGTTGATGGCAGTTACACCGGCATTGTCGTACTTGACCTGGACAGACGTAGCGCCTGCTCCAGCGTTTCCGTTGTCACACCAGTTGGCAGAGTTGATGGCGTCTTGACCTCCGTTGCCAGGGCATTTGTTGGATGCGGGACGGCAGCCGGTGGCTGTTGTAGTTCCCTCAGTACCCTTGAAGTTGAACTCTCGGTCGAGTACGATACAGCGGGCAGTGCTGTCGCTGAGCCAGGTCTTCAGCTGGGCTACCGAGGAAGGTACAACACAGGCTGCATTGCCACCTCCCGTAGTACCTCTTCCGAAGCCCTCAGGTGTGCCTTTGACTCCGTATGATTGCCTCTCTCCAAGAACGGCGGCGCTGGCTGTGTACGCGCCTGCGAGCGCAAGAATAGAAAGCTTCATAGTGAAAGAAGAATGAATGATGCTTTCCTGAAGCAAGACCAAGGCTTAATAAGTAGAAAGAGTGGCTTGATACTGTAGATAGTCCTTTACCGGTGGCACATCTGCCCTTTAAAAGCAATTGCCATGCTAGCTAGAAGAGTACCCCTCTGGAAGAATCCTCGGCAACCATGCCGGCATCGAGATACCTCTGATGTTGAGGAGAGTAGTTTCTGCGCCTTAGTGTTGATTTCCTCCATTAGCAGCGCGGAAGGACCAGCGCTTGGTGATGATAGGGGCATGGTAAAGCACCAGCTCATGGCGCTAACGCACACTCCAAATGACAGCGGCGCGCAGTCAAGAACGCCACAGGGACTGTGAGTAGTTTGACAGCTATCCAGATCCCTGCAATCTCGTTCTCTTCAGGTACTGTTGCCGGTATGCTATCATTGTGCTAGGGACCGTGAACATGTTTGCCCTGCTTCTGGAAGTTGGATCATTTCGGCTGTCGCGCTCGAGCCCTGATGAATCCTGTTCTTGGAAACAGACGTGGGACCATTGTTACCGGACGTTCCTAATCGCGCGACTTAGGTGTTGACGGTGTCTGCCCAGGTGTTCGCACGTGTAGTCGATGAACGTGTAATCCACGTCGGACCGAATGACTACACCACACTGCTGTTAGGTCGTAACCTAGTCGCTCATCTTTTCGCGATCAGCCTCGAGCTAATTGCTGGTCAGTTGATCTGGCTTCATATAGAGATAGCGCTTGAGCGGTGGAAGAATAATGCAGACCTCGGCGTTCTCTTCGGAACGGGTAGGGCGGATGGCAGACCCTGGGCTAGCACGTTTCGTCTCTCCGCACTTTGGTAGACCTGCGCTAGCGTAGCATATGCCGGCGCTACAAGCACACCAAGCACATCTCGGCAATGTTTTGCCCGGTCTTAGACATGTCGGTGTTTGAGTTGCCAGTATCCTGGCCATGCCCTCTGTGCATGTCTGATTCACGGAACAGTAATACCGTCTTTAAGAATGTGATGCTGCAAATGATCCAAGGTTGCCCCGGGAGCAGCAATGTCAGGCGTATTCGCTTGCTTTGCGACTATTATGCACGGAAGCTGGTATCCGCACCTGTCAAGTGTCGGAAGAATATTCACGCGCGTAGCTCGTCGGAGTTTTAGATGACAGGACGCGATGGATGGAGACTGCAAGGTGGATTTAAATGTCCGTAACCCACTTCCACATGGCTACCGATTGTTCGTACGACGAGTTGAGTAATCGAAAGTCTGACTGCGACTGTTCATATATTTAGTCTTTGTAACATCGTAAATGACTTGTATTTCATGTACTCATAGCCACTCATACTCCGGTCTTATGCATCAAGCCCAGCCACGACTGTCATCGTCATGAGACTTGAGGAAACGCCCTTAATCAGCTCGACTGACATATTTATACATACTCTCTGTCCGCACAGCTCTGGATCATGCCCTTGTTGGTCGCGTCGTACTCAACCAAGTCGATCTTGCCGTCCTTCTCGACAGTGTTTGCCTGGACGAAGACCTTCCTGGGTGTCTTCTTCTTAAGCACGGCCGGCCTGACCATGTTCTCGTAGAAGGGCTCAACAGTGGTGATCTCGTCGTACATCCTCTTACCAGCTGCGTAGTCTGCAGTGGCCTTGTAGATGTGCAGCTTCTGGAGGTAGTCATTTACGGCAGGGCGACCTAGATCCAGAATACGATCACGCTCAAGGCGGATGGTCAGGTCGGAGAGATCGTCCTTTTCCCATTCCAGCTGGCAGAACTCGACACCGGCATTGAGGAATGTGCGCAAGATGGAGAAGCGAGCTTGCATGTGGGCTTGACCCCACTTCCTGCTCTTGGGATCCCAGAACTCTAGAGCTGCGATACCAGCGCGGGCCATCTGAAGGTATGCTGTGAAGAGAACGTCGCCGGCCTCACTGTTCATGTCGGCCTTGCCGTCACCAAAACCGAACAGTTGCAAGATGGGGAATTCGCAAGAGAGCGCCATGGCGACGCATTCGGCACGGCACTCCTCGTAGGAAGCAGCGATGGTGCCGAATGTTGATCCCCAAGTCTGGCCTGGCTTGTACCAAGACTTTATCGGCTGGCCGCTTAGTGGTGAGATTGGAGGGTTCTCTTTGTCGAAGTTGAAGACGCCTGGCTCCGTCTCCTGGAGAAGCTTACCACAACCATGGCCTAGCAGCTCGTGGAGACCGACCTGGACCTCGAACGCAGGGTCTCGGTACTTTTGGTACGTGGCCAGGTCTTTGTCTTTTATGAAGGGAACAGCCTCGTTTGGTGCCTTTGCAGAGAGGATGTTGCCAAGCGATACGTTCTTGAAGCCGAAGTTCTGCCGAATGTCATCATAGTTGGGGATGTTGATTCCGGCAGGGATGCTGTTGATGTTAGATGAGGTCACAGAACAACGTGGGAAGTTTTTCTGACTTACCCACTGCCCGCAAATGTCAGCACCTCGAGCGAGGTGAAGTCAGGGCTAAGGAACTTGTCCTTCTCGAACGACTTGTCCCACGGTAGCAGAGGGATGTACTGTGGCGCGGTCTCGACCAACTTGCCAAAGGCTCGCGTCCGTTCCTTGTTGACCATGGCAACGAAGCCTTCCCACTCGCCACGGATGCCGTGTGGGTCGCGGTATGTCTCGATGAATCCGATGTCCGATTCCACCTGAGGTCCCTTGTCTTGGACCCATGCCTTTTGGCTTTCCTTGAAGGCCTGGAGTGACCCTGTCCTGAAGCTCTTGGAGTATTCCTCCATCATCTTGATCTCGTGGTCATTGGCTGCGTATTTCTTCGCCTGCTCAATGTGGTGCGCGATGGTGTCCATCTCCTTGGAGTAGTCACCAAAGACCAGCTTCACCTTGCTGCCATCGTCCATTGTCCACTCGCTTTCTTTCAGATCGCGTTGTTCTGCTGATGGGTTATCCGAGGCTGAAGCAATAAGAACCTCGTATCCATCCTTAGCCTTCTTGATCCTTGTGTTCTCCGGAAGCAGTCCTTTGCCTTCGAGGAAATCGCTCACGCTGGAGATCTGTTCGCTGGTGATGTCGGGGCTGTCGGGGTAGTAGGTTGAGATGTGTCCCGCACCGGGGTAGCCCAGATGCAGCTTTCCCACATCGTCGCCAGCATATATGGCGTCCTTGAACTTTTCGTATATGGCCAATGTGTCTTTGGAGGCGGTCGCGAGTGCCTTCAGCTGGCGCGGATCGAGGCGGGGTACGAACTTGCTGTCTCCGAACGACTTGAAGTTGCCTAGGTTGCCTAGAAACTGCGCTGAGTAATCGAGGTATGCGTCAATCTCTTCTTGTGAGAGACCTGTGTCTTTGGCGAGGGAAGCATAGTCGCCCTTGGCGTGCTTGTGGAGGGCGACGATGAAGTCGTAAATGTGCTCGGATTCGGGGGAGACTTGGCGGAGGACGACGCGAGTTCCGGCGAAGCAGGCTCTGTGGTATGTGTCAGTTACTGTATCATATACTGCTGAGGCATATGTATGTCCTACACTGAGAGATGGTGGGCGTAGAGCTTCTCCTTGTCGCTGAGCGCATCGAAGTGAGGCTTGATGGTCAGAGGCACGACAGTGGGCGGGCTATCGGCCAAGTACTGCTTGAGCGTCTCGGAGTCTATAGTGGCGGTCATGTTGTTGGTGGTAGTTGAGGTTGAGAGTCGTCTGGTGAGCTCCAAGGGCATCGGCGGGGGGCTGATGCGGGCCCAGTAGCATGGGCGTGGGGTAGCTGCACGTGTCTCATCTGCGGTCGTGGCAGGTTCGCGCCTCACTGCCGCGCGCCATAGGCCAATTCGCCCACTCGTGAGCCTCCTTCCAAGAGGCTGCAACAGACGCGGCTTAGCAAGCATCATTGTCAGACGTTTTCGCTCTATCATCGTACTAGAGTATCGATTCCTCTTTTCGCTCGCTTAGCTGGCGCAAATTCCCGCCGAGGTGTTTCCTTCCCGACGCGTCACGGTCGTGCCTTCTCCAATACCCGTCAACGCCATTGTTCATCCCACCAACACTCTTGCCGTCGACAAAATCGCCAACACCATCCATTGGGTCTCGAATCGTTTTCACAATGGACGACATTCCTAACGAATTGCTCATCCACATTGTTGACCAACTAAGAGGCCCAAAGACCTGGTCAGAACCAGCAGACTACAGCCGAATGCACGCCCTTGCGGCTCTTTGCTCCGTCTCAAAGAAGCTGCACCAGATTGCTAGACCATTACTCTACGAATCGATAGACCTACTCCCAAATGACGGTGTTCTGACCCAGTCTCAAAGACTTTTTGCTCGTCTCCAAGAGCAGCCAAGCCTTCCCTTCGAGATCAAAGCCCTTCGACAGAAGATGCGTGCTAGGCCGAGAGAGGACGGCGAGAGCCGTATGCGCGTCCGCGATGAGTACACGAATGACACTATAAGAGACTTGAGAGCCTTTGGGCTAGGCACGGAAGACACCTCAGCACTCGTGGGCCGTTGGCTAGGGTACGAAGACTTATACTTCGCTCTCGTGGCATTTCGGACACCGAACTTAGAGCGTCTATGGGTACGGTTGGACGGTTCCTACCAAGGGATCTATGAAGAGTGTAATAATACCCTTCTCGAGGGCATAGGTCGTATGGCTATGGACGTAAGTCGGCTTCACACTCACCGTTTTGACAATCTCAAGATCTTGCATTTCGAATTCTCCAATTCACCGGACATGCCCGCGCGGTATGCGTTCCCGTTGTTACTCTTACCCAACTTGGATGAGCTTACTCTTGTCGCGTTGGGCGGCTATGTCAACATTCCTGAGAATGAACATTACGCCGTTCTCGAATACGACGCCGACGACGGCTTGACCATTTTCGACAGCCCTTGGTCGTGGCCAGTACACTCATCGCCTATCACCAAGCTCTCGCTATTCAAACCAGTTATCTCTGAGAACGCGGTCAAAAATATGATAATTGCGTGCAAAGGTCTGGAGCGATTTGAATGCTTTCACCCACTGCGTTCCAGCAC